GGTTTCACGAGGCAAGACTGAATTGTATTCAGCTGTGAATTAGCTACTGTATGTGAAGCTGGCCCTGTGAAGCTTTTGGGAAAGAGATTTAATGGGCAGTGTACACTACTGTGTAGTGCCCACAGAGTGTTACAGTAGTTTTAATATATAAGTGCATACTGTGATCTTTATCTTGCCTTTTTTAAACATTTATTAAACGTTTGTAATTGCTATTGCTATTATTGCAAATACAGTTTGTATTGTCCTTGAGTTTGTGTCTGCATGTTTTATTTGGCTTTTGTGTTGCTTTTTTATGTTGCTCCTCACTTTCACTTTGCCATAACTATAGTGGAGATTTCAATTTTCTGGGCTGGTGCTGGATCTCTAGGCACATGTGCACTTGGGCTTGTTTTAGTTTTTAGAGGTCCTGTGTATTACAGGTGCTGTGTAGGGGTAATTGCGGGTGTGTCTGTCATGGCATTCAGCTTACAGGATTTTACTCTGTGCCAGACTTTGGAGCAGTTTGAGAAATGTCACAAGGCATATATTTTATATATGCAGGTTTAGTAGGTTTCTTCTAGTCTCTTGGTTTACCTGAGGATATCTGAGAGATAACTTCCCTGAGCTCTTTTAAATCTAGACTCAAAAAGCTTTTTTTAAAAAAGATCAGACTTCTTGTGACTTTAGTGTGTTATAGCAAGACATAGAGATACAGTATATGAAAGTGCCATTACATGCTTTGCATTTATAGTCCCCTGTTATTACTGGGTTTGTTAAGGTAGGGGTGCAACCTACAGTATTTTGTTAATTTTTTACATATTTTAGAGACTTCAGAATGCCTCGATCAATGGGTAACAAAATGTAACATAATACGAGCTTTAGTATAAAAGCTATTGAGCATAGAACATCTTTCTAGATAGAACATAGAACATCATCTGTAAGAAGAATTGCATATGTAGTTTATTATTATCTGAATAAAAACAGAAAATACAGAAAGAGTTTCACAAATTAAAGAGAGGTTGAACCCAATATTCATACAAGATGCATAAAATTGTAAAGGATTTTGAGTTTGTGTTGTTCTGCTTTATATGGTGAGGTTTTTGCATACATACTTAGCTTTTGAATAATAATTCTCACAATAGGGATGCGCTTTATACAAGCCTATGCATAGTTGCGCATACACAAAAAATTAAAAATAAGGTTTTTAAAATGCAAACAGATACTAGATGTTATTTAAATAAAAGTTGTGAAAATTTTCCATGGGTTTTGCTTGCAAAGTTATTGACACCTGTAACTTTGTGTCTCAAAAATAGTCATTTTAATAGAAAGAGTGTTGGACTACCATACAGTACATTCACTTTAACTAGGTAAATTTAAACTAAATTCTTAATTTTTAAAATGTATATATTTATGGAGAAGAAAACATAAAACCTCTTAGCTTACATTCTCCTCTAGCTTTTTGTTAAAGGGTTTCTCGAGGTGTTGTACAAAACAACTTAAAGCATTGAAACAAATCTCCAAGAATAGGTAAAAAAACACCAAACACTAATACAAAAGAAACCAGCAGAACTGCAAAACTGCAAAGTCATAAGGAGTACATAACCCTTCTTTTCAGATTACAGTTTTAAATTGGTGTATAAAAGAGACATACTGAAGTGATGCAGGTGATAGAGGGCTTCAGTTCTGTTGAACCTATTTACTGCATGGATGCCAGAGAAACAAATGAAGGGGTACTGCAATATCCAGACAGATAACAGTAACAAACATTCCCTGGTGTTCTCTAACACACCCCAGGAAATCCAGATTTATAGGAAGTAACAGGAAGTTGGGTTTAGCTTTACTAAGCTTTCATGCTGCAGTGTTCCCAACAAGCTTTAGTTTTAAAAGCTTCATGTTTGGAGGCAGCTTGCAATGTAGTAATTGCTCCAGTTGAACATCAGTTAATCTGCTGCTATAACAACTGCACTTATTAAAAATGAAGATATATTCTACTGTCCTGAGAGTTATTGTACAAAGATGAATGACCATTTTCAATCATGTAACCTGACATAATATATATAATATATATAGTATATGCTGAAGAAAAATAATATTAAAAACAGAATTTAAGCAGATCAAAATAAAGTTAATTAAACAATATACAGGCTGTTAATACTTACTTATTGTTATGAGTAATCCACGCCACTTCATTTTCCTGTGCGACGCGGTCAAACAGCAACAATAATTATAAGATCTACTTCAGTTTCCTGAGTGCTTTATGTTGCAGTCTCCACTATAGGCAGTTTGTCATTTATGTTTTTTTTTTCAAAACAGCAGGTTTTTTTGTCACATTACTTATGCTCTTTGTTGCATATTCTGCTTATATTCTTTTACATACTAGACGAATTTATTCACATTTGAAGAAATAGGAAATTTATTTAATACTATTTAATCTAGCAATTTATTTCCAGAATACACACATGCAATAGAAGAAACCAGGAATTAAATACACGGACAATGATTTTGAGCTGTACACATTTCCATTTTTTTAAAGAATTACTATACCATTTCTTTCTAGCTTTCTGAGAATGCATACAGTAGGATGTAAAAGCAATTGTAGTGAAACTGTCAGTGCTGGGAACCCGATGCTTGGTTGTACAGAAGTTCTTGATATAATGCCCCAAAGAGATGAATGTCCACTGTTACAGTCTTTAGTGTGCAGTTTATGATTAGTTTCACTGCATTTCCCTGTTCTTTCATTACTTTATGATTTAATATGATGCATTGTGTGTTCTGCTGGATACACTCTTGTTGTTTAGTCATAGGTTTTACTCCATATATTGTAAGCATTACGGTTAGCTCTTTCTGAATTGGTACTCATTCAGAGTAAAACAAAATAGCTAAAACTCATGAGTGGATCTGGAGTTACATTGATGTATTTCTGCTTACAGTCCTTACAAATCTACAAGTGATGATGTGTGTTGTGAAAGTATTGAGGCAAGGCAAATAATAATAAAGCAAGATTTGTTTGAACAAAATTTGTTTTAACTTTTTCAAACATGTTTGTACCACAATCTGGTGCCAGCATAATTTATACTAAGTAGAAGCAGATCACCTGTTGTAATTTTGTGATAATGAGATAATGAGAATTATTTGTTTAGCTGGTTATGGCTCCTATAGAATGTGTGATACTGTACAGTATATTCTAAGTAGTAATGGTACCTACTGTATCTGAATCACATTAATTATTTGAATGACATGTTTATTAAATTATTCTTATTTGTCACAGGCTGTTCCTTTTCTGGAGACGTTTACATTACCAGGTAAAACCTGACCGTATTTTCAGTTCTGACACATCAACTGTGATCACTAGTTGTAAAAATGCAGCAACTGCTGGTATCCTTTTCTGAATCACATTCCCCACAAAACTGTACAAACAAGCTGCTGCCATTCAGTCTCCTGAAAATTTGCTAGCTGAAAGTGTCTGCTAGATGCTTTTCTGCATCTGGATATAGACCAGCTCCACCAGGGGGAGAATGAACAATTATGGAACTATGGAACTGTGAGTCTCAAGGATGTGCTGGATATTTCTATGAGGAGTCTTAGTGAGAGACAGGAGTTTTACATTTGTTTGATTTTGATCCCAGGAAGCAGATTAGCTGCCCGCTGTGATACAGAGGTACTTGAAAAAGCCTAGTAAGCAGCTCTAAAGGGAAATAGCCCTGTATTTTGTTTGGCTTGCTTTGCATTTTTGTCCTGTATATACTGTAACAACATATAACATCACCTGGTGTGTCTGTTATCCTGGACCTGACAGTTTTAAAAGATTCTGTTTCGGTACATCCAGCTGGGGTGTCAACCATAATAACCTATGGGTTATAACCACAATGAAATGGTCCAAGTGTATGTTAGAGACAATGCAGGCGGTCACTGAGAATGGCACTCCATGCCAAATAAGGCTATAATCCATAGCATCTATTATTAAGTGGAATGTAAAGTATTGTATATATATATATGATCAAGCTTGATTTTCTAAAATCCCAAACCCTCTATTCAGCACTCATTCGTACCTCCAATTATATGGATTTCCAGAAACTTTTAAAAAATCTTTTAAAAAGTGAGAGGACTTCATTAGGCTCTTGTTTATTTGGTAGTTTAGACCTGTGTTCTAGAGGAAATAGATTTAATTATTTTAATCTCTTTATATATTACAATCTTTTGATCATTCTTGTTGCTCTGTTGCTCTTTTTTATATCTTTAAGGACATAAACGTGTTGTGTTATTGTAACCAAAACTATTCTAAATGTGGCACTTTAAAGGTTGAGGATCATTTCTTTTCTTTTCATTTAATTCCACAGTTGCTGCTACTGTATATGCTAAAGCTTTTTGGATTCTAAACACCAAGAGCCAGAACGTATTTTCAGGTGATGCATCTGATGCATCTGAGCAGGAAATGAGGAACAAGTTCTGTGGTTCAACTGAAAGTTCAGCTCGAATTATTTATTATTGCAGCAGGTGTTTTTGCAGTATATGCTCACGCTACCATCTGCACCTTAACTAGTTGGAAGTGAGAATGATACAAGTAAATAAGGCAAAGCTCTACCAGATCACCTAGTGGTGATTGAGATTTCAGCCAGTCTTTGGATCTCTGCCACAACAACTTGTTACACTTATGATCATGACTTTGATCATGACATGACTTTGCTGTGCTGAAAAGAAAGATAAAAACCTAGGTTAAATGCTATCGTTTCTGTGCTAAGGCTACCATAATATTAAAAATATAAAAAATGCTGTTTGAGGAGACCATGAGACTATTATACAAAATAAATTTGTATAACCCATGTGCAGTACTAGAGTTATTTTGTAAGACTGAAAGGAAAAGACTTAAAAATGTATGTGGTCCTTTAACCACATCCGCATCCTTTAACCCCTAATTTAAATTACCCTTTATATGGTCCTTTGAGGCAGTATGCTGCATGCAGATTGTATTTTCTCTCTATGTTTGTGTTGGTTTCCTCTGGGTGCTCCGGTCCAAAAACGTACTAGGAGTTTAATTGGCTTCTGGGAAAATTTGCTCTACAGTAGGTCTGTTGGACTGGCATTCTTTCCAGGGTGTATCCTGCCTTGCTCCTGTTGCTTGCTGGGACAGGCTCCGGCTTGCCTGCAACACTGAATTGGAAGAAGTGGTTAAAACATAGAACATTCCCCCTGACAGGGGAATTGTAGGTTTAGAGAGATCTTTGATCCTCATTTCTCAGACATGTTCCCTGAAACAGTCAGCCAGTCTTCTTTCTGTCTCACTGATGTAAATGACAGAGAATTTTCTGCAAAAAGTCAGTAAATAACTGACCACATTACCAATACGCATGAAAATTCAATGGGTGAATTTGAAGTATGAGGCACTGAGTACTGTATACTGTATGTGTGATACTGTATACATATTTGCAGGTGAGGCTGTGACTTTTGTTACAGCAAGAGGTGCCTGATGTAGATAGTTGATGGGAGGTTACAGGGACTGTGGAAATGAAGTTTGTACATATTAGGTGTTCAGCAGTATGAGATGACAGGGGGATCCAGGGAAATGATTCTAGTTGTGGTTTCATCCTATAAAATAGAGGTTAATATTGTTGATCCTAATAATAGGAAGGATGTAAGGGGTTGAAGGAAAGCACCAGTGATTCCAGTTCTGGGTGTGGGTGTGATTTTGGGTTGATTTTCTGTGACTATTTTCTGTGGTGTTAGGTAAGGGTCCTGTCAATAAAGAATAACTTTTTAAAGGCTTAATTGTGGAAGGCCTTTTCATCATTGCATGATTGACAAAATCTGAAGAACTGTGTAAAAGGGAAAGAGTAGTAGTTTAGTAGTAGTTGGAGGCAGGTGTGTGAATCAGTGGGTTTGTAATAAATAGAAAAAAATTCTGGCTGGTTGATAGAGAGTCAGCCAGACTTGCTGTAGCAGATTGTAGAACATGTTGAGTGGGAACAATTAGGATGTGTTTCACTTTTATTATCTTTTGCTGTTGTTTAATTTGATGCATCTATACATAAACAAAATGAATCAAACAGGAAATGAAGACAACTTTGTTACTGCTGTCTGAAGATGTTAGTGGTCTGTAAGTGTAGGAAACCACAGGTTTCTGAAAACGTGAAAAGTGAACCTACCATGCGAAGTTTACCTTTAGAAATGTAAACATCATTGTGAAGGCGATTCACTATTATCAAAATCTGTTTTCCAAGTTAATTGATAATGCAATAATATTATTAGTCTAGTGGTGTCGTTTTATTTGAGATATAATGTCCCCAAAAGAAGTCATTTGTTACCTATGTTGGAAAGAGATCAAGAGATCTTTGCTTTACAACAGAATGATGTGACATGCTTTGTTTTGTTTTTACTTTTTCAAAGATGTGTCCTTTTTTTACAATCAAACCTAATTATAGGATTCATATGATTTTAGTGTTACACTAAGTGTCCTATTGTTATCCACATTGGAATTAAAATAATATAACTAGCTATTTTCTAACTGGTTCAATTAATTCAAGGTCAAGGGGAAGCCTAAAATGATGTCTTTGACTTGTGGGAGAAAAATGGAACACCCAGCAAAAACAAGTAGAACATACAAACCACACTACGTCCAGAATCACACCCAGGGCTCCAGCACTGTGAGGAGGCAATGCTAACTATTCTGCCACCATGCTGTACAGGCATTTGTGGTTACAATGGTTTTAGTTTCTCAGAATTGCAGCTTCGAACTAAGCTCTGTAGTTTTATTTTCTTCCCACAGAATGTTTGTACGATTTCTTTTTAGTCAAATAATAAATGAATAGAGTGTATTTAGCTGAAGTGAGGCACAGTTCAGTGTAAAAATATAGTGGAAGCATTATTTCGACTCTCTTTTTATCTTCTGTTGTATTTCCAGGATTATGGGACTAGGATTGTTTGAGTGGTAATAGAACTGAGTTTCTAGCTTTCCAAAGTTATGAAACATCTCCTGTCAATCATAAACCTTATAAAAACATGCAGAAATCAGAATGCAGCTAGTGAAATAGATATTTCCTTTCACAAGAAAATACATTAATTAGCCATTATTCAGTTCTACGAACTACTTAAATCAGCTTAAATTGTATATAACATGAACTCATACAGTAGTACTATATTAATAAGCAGTATTACCCGCAAAGAAAAATAATAAATTTGAGGGACAATTTAATATATTGGGTTGCTAGGAGTTGTTCTTAAAAACAACATATCAAACATATCAAACAACTTGTATTTTAAAATACTGAATT